TTTTTTGAAAAAAGGGGGGGGGGGGGAGGGTAAATGCATTTCTCAAAGATGAACAGTTAGCCTTACATTATGATTCTCAACATGAGACCTTGACAAAAGTACTTAAGTTTGCTTTGAACCTGGCAAACAACCTTTGTAATACAGGTTCTTTTGGATTGCTCCTTGCCTCCATACATTCTAAACCTTGTCCCTCCTGAATGTATTGATGTTTTATTTATTGTCCAAGTTTTCTTACATTTTTTTTTCCAAATGGACACACATCGGCAGACCAAAAGAAAAGAAAGGGTGTTATTATTCCATATAAAACTGAAACAAATCATAGACACTAAAGCCCTTCTCCATGAGACCATCGGGAAGCAAGAAACTGTGCCTCAAGGCTGCTTTTTCTACTGACCCTTCATTTCATTCCAACATTCCCCAAGAAAAAAGGTTTTTTAAGTGCAGTTCTCAAAGATGGAGCTGAGGCCCCATGTCAGTGTCTCCACTGGGCTCCTTGATTGCACATTCCATACTAGAGCATAAAGTGCCATGGCATTGTTTTTTTGTGTGTTTTTTTTAAACTTGGAAAGTCTTCCCCCTTTCTGTGATTTTTATTTTTTACCTTGTGGCTCCTATGTTCTTGTAATGACACATAAGAAGGTGCTTAAAGGTTTTCTTGAAGGTAGCATTGCAGAGGGCGTAGCAGGCAGGATTGATGGTGCTGTTGATATAACAGAGCCAGTAACCAATAGTCCAAACAGTGCCGGGGATGCAGGGCCCACAGAAGCTGTTGATAAGCACCATCACATTGTATGGTGTCCAGGTAACGATGAAGGCCAAGAGAATTGCTAAGATAGTCCTGGTCACTTTTTTTTCTCTAGATGGGGGTGGTTTCTTTTTGGCTGGCTGCTTGGTCATCTTGACAATTTTACGGGCTACGCTGTTCTGCTTCTCATCCTCGTTTTGGCCAGTGGTACCTACAATCTCCACAGTTGTGTTGGTTGGGACACAACAGTCCCCCTTTTGGGATTTTGTGACTATCCTGATGCATGTCAGCTTGGAGTTCTCAGCTTTGGAGTGGGCTTGAGAAATGGAAGCCCTGTTGGCTTCTTTGGCAACTTCATCCTCCTTCATGTTGGAAGCAATGACACTGACAGAGGTGGAATCATTAGAGCTCTCCTTCTCCTCCCCTTGAATACAGTTCTCTATTACACTCTCTCCAGTGGCTTTACCATTCTGAATTTTGCTATGGTCCAACCCATCATCGCTGACTGGGATGTTGTTATTGTTTGGTTTCACTATTTTACCTTGGACTAGACTGGGACAAACTGCATCTTGGTTTTGTGCTGGTTCCTTTTTTCCTTTTTTCATCCTGCTCTTGCTGGCACGAGATATTTGCCAGTAGAGAATGGTCATAATGACAACGGGCAGGTAGAACGCTGCAATGGCAGTGCCAAAAGTGACAGCTGGATTGGAAAAGAACTGGATGTAGCAATCCCTATCGGGAACTGTTCTTCCCCCAACGATAAACTGCCAGAACAGAATTGCAGGTGCCCACAAGATGAAGGACAGCACCCAAGCAGCAGCAATCATCATGCCTGCCATCTTAGTGGTCCGCTTTACAGGGTATGTCAGAGGCTTGGTGACACAAAAGAATCTGTCAAAGCTAATAATGAGAAGGTTCATGACAGAGGCATTGCTGACCACATAGTCAAGAGCCAGCCACAAGTCACATACTACAGGCCCTAAGGGCCAGTAGCCAATCACAGTGTAAAGTGTGTATAGGTTCATGGAAAAGACACCAATGATCAAGTCAGCACATGCCAAGCTGAACAAGAAGTAGTTGTTGACAGTCTGCAGGTGCCTGTTCACTTTGATTGACACCATGACCAAAATGTTCCCAATGATAGTCACTAGACTGAGAGACCCGGCTACCAGGACTATGAAGATCACCTCAACTGTTTTATAGGGGCTTCCCAGTGCCATTTCATTGTCCGTAGAAGCATTTATGTATGTTGAGTTATTCATTTCTGTGTCTATAACAAGAAACCCGATGACCAATTATCACTTAAGCCTGCAGAGGAAAGAAAGAAAACAAAATCATTATGAAATTTACCCTTGATTCTTAACAAATAAAACCCAAGAAAACTGTATGGAAAGCACTTAACTATAGTAACTTGGAGTGAGCTGGACTATTTGTGTATGAGTTATCTGAAAAATATTGTGATTTGTACTCTTCTTTGAAATAATACACAGTTGAGATTAAAATGCAATTAAAAAGCTTTTTTAAAATATATATTCTATTTCCATTTAAGAACTATTTGCGGTTTTAATTTGGATCTATGTTTGCATTCACTCCCCATACCTCCAAATTTAGTTTGTTGTGATTCAGGGCTTTTCCCAGCCTATATCTAAATTAAAGCCTTTGGCAGGTGGGGGAGCCCAACTTGAAGAACACATAGTTATTAAAATATTGAAAGCAGATGAGTTTTATTTGGAACTGGGTGGTAAAAGATCATTTAAGTTTCTTTCTGTTTCTCTCTTTTTTTTTCCAACGTGCCAACCCGAAAGTCTTCTGTGAGGT